CCTAAAGTTAGTACTCCCTCCATCCCAAAATATAAGGAATTTTGATTGGATGGGATATATCCTAGCACTATATATCTAAATTCATAGTACTAGGATGCGTCTCATCTAACCAAAATCTCTTATATTTTGGGATGGAGGGAGTAGACTCTTAAACAAGGTTTTGGTATGCTCATCCTTGTTTGGTTTGGGGATGAGGTATGATGGGTTGGACTCAGCCTTGTTTTTAGGATGAGATTGTCTCCATTATCTGTTTGGCATGAGGGATGCGATGATCCTAGGGTTTAAGGTTTAGCGTTTAGGGTTCAACTCCAAATTTAAGGTTGAAAATTTAAATTTTGGATGATAAGCATAAGAAAAAGATAAGGCCCTATAATAGCAATGCCGGATCGGCTGGATATTTATCCACTCGGTGGTTACTCTAACAAATGAAAAGCCACCCTGTTTTGAGTTGATCAAGTCGAAATTTTGTCAGGCTTCCAAATGCCTGTTTTGAGTGGCATCTTCTCAATTCTCAAATGCCACAAAGTTTGTTGGCTTTGCTAATCTGCCACAAACTTGAGTGACAAATTCGCTGATTTGCCACAGCAAAGCAGAATATGATATGGATTTCATCATATCCCTCGAGGGGATATCCTCTCGTTATTTACATGTCGTCTAAATAATTATAATTTTTTTAAAGAAAATGACAATATAGATTAATATTAAATATATCACTACACAAAATGCAAGATCAAATTGGACTTCTACAAGTTGCAGCAAAAAGAACAAATTAAACTGAAAATAGTTATCGTACATTCGCATCCATATTTGTTATTTTTCACAACTTGTAGAAGTTGAATTTTACTCTCAAACACACCCTTAGGTAACTTGCACTTAAACATCTTATAAAATAAAACAGAAGGAACAATTTTAAAACATCAATTTGTTGGTTGTCTTTTTTCTCTTATCTTTCTCCCTAATATACTCTATTTGGCATTGAAATGGTTCACGACAATCCTATTTGATGAGTAGCACAGGAGTTACAGGATAACAGATGGCTTAGACCTATGAGGAGGATGAACTCGACTACCCAAGTAAGAGAATTCATTCTCCTTTGGGGTTTAATCCAACAAGTCCACCTGGATGAAAGCGCAACAGACTCTATCACCTGGAAATGGACGCCGAATGGGGCATACTCAGCTAGCTCGGCATACAGAATCTAATTCCTAGGTAGCATACAGGACAACAGAACAAATTTCTTCTGGAAGGCAAAGACAGAAAACAAATGTAGGTTTTTCGCTTGGCTTATGGTACATAAAAAAATCCTAACCTCTGACAAACTCCAGCTAAGGGGATGGGATAACAGCCCGATATGCTCCCTATGCGGCATTGAACTCGAGACGGCTAGGCACCTTATCATGGAATGTGCTTTCGCAAAGCAGGTTTGGAGCTCAATTTGGTCCAAGCTAGGTCTACAAATGCCGACCACAAGCCTCTTCAATGGAGATATCTTGGCATAGTGGGATTCTTGTTGGAAAAAAATTGTCAAAGAGCAAAGGCGAAACCTAGATGGCCTCATCATTTACACGACATGGGGAATTTGGTTGCAAAGAAACAGCAGGATCTTTCATGACACCTACAACACGGTCTCACAAGTGGTGGAGTCAATTATACAATTGTGCAAGTCCTTTGATGAAGAGATGTATTTTGATGCTTGTTGCCTTCCATTCCCTAAAAATTGTCTGTCTTCCCCGCCTAATGTCGACGGGATCTAGACCCATTAACTTGTTAGGGGTTATTTGTACTCTTGCTTTCTCTCCTTAAATGAAATTGGCAGAGCTCGTGCCCTTTCCCCTAAAAAAAATCCTATTTGATGAAACCATTTTTCGATCTTTAGTGTTTGGAAGATTTTTTTTCTTAATCTTTGTTCTTTTTCCACGTAAGAGGGGATAATGGTCACAGGCATGAAAAACTGATACCACTTTTTTTTCACTTAGAAAAAATGATTTTATTATTTAAAAAATAAACGACGTCAATTATAGGTTTATGTCCACAAATCAAATCCTTGTTGATTTTACCCGTGCTACTGTAAAGGCTTTGCACTCCATAATTCTAGTGGCTATTCAGAAAATAGACTTCGTTTATAAGAATATAGAAGACATAAGAGATAAAGAGCTTCAACCACAATTTGACGAACTAATTAGAAGGTATATTTGCTGATTCAGTTTTTATGGAATAATTTGTAGTTTGATGTGCACAAGAAGAGAGTATTTGCATGCTTGAGTGTCACGCACTGTTTCAGGATTGTCTCGGACTGTTTTAACAGAATATATGCACATCACAGTAAGCAGTACTATGCATTACTAACTACTGCTATACTCCCTCCGTCTAAAAAAAAGATAAACCCTAGTTTTCTGACTACTGCTATACTCCCTCCATCTAAAAAAAGATAAACCCTAGTTTCCGTGTCCAACGTTTGACCGTCCGTCTTATTTGAAAAAATTATAAAAAAAATTAAAAAGACAAGTCACGCATAAAATATTAATCATGTTTTATCATCTAACAACAATAAAAATACAAATTATAAAAAAATTATATAAGACGGACAGTCAAAGTTGGACACGAAAATTCAGAATTTGTCTTTTGTTTTTTTTGACGGAGGGAGTACAACACAACAGCCAGAAGGACAAAAATACGAATGGTCACGCTCAAGTTCACAGGATGTTGACAAAGGTGACATCTCATTGATTGCTGCAGTGTAAGAGGAGGCTAAGTGTGGCGAAAGATATCAATGGATAAGGCCATCTTCAACCCAACCCTGAAAGTATCAATTAGTTTTTATATTTATAACTATATACCTAACGATGGTGTCTTTAAATTAAATTCTCATTCAATCATTTCTTCTCTCTCCTTTTATCCACATATACATTTGTTTTCATTCTTACTTCTTGTATAGAAATGGTTTCTTGCATGAGAAATGTTTTCTTCATATTTTTTACTTCTCTCCTTATTAACTCTCTTTCCATATCAGATTTTTGTTTATGTGGCAATGTATTTAATACTATGAACACTAAATGACATCAAGGGTTAGGGATGGCCTAGTACGCAATATAGTGATACCACCTTCTTTGTTTTTTCTTTAAAAGTAATCACTCAACCGACATCACTGTCCTTTATTTAATCATTTAATGGTTTTGGTGCACCCAGCACCCATAATTCCGAAGACAAATAGTTGTCATATCTATAAGTGTAGGTAGCGACACTTCATCTAAATAAGGATGGTTAAATGTAACAGAGTTTTTTTTTTCGCGATCAATGAAAATAGTAATACGCTCGACACTTTTGGATAGTGGGAGTAAAGAATTTGTTTAGTCATTTGGACCAAAACTTTTGTTGAGATTGGGATATGGGTCCTTGGTTGGATTTTTTTTAAAAAATTAAACCTTTTTAATATTTAATTAAAAAAGGCCACTTCGAAATTTATTTCTAAAATATGAATATTTTAACCACGTCAACCCGCTCCATGATATGGTAAAACAACACTGACATGTCATCCACAGTATAAGTAACAATTTTTATCATGTAAGGCAACGCTGTCACGTCATCCAGATCAGCGTGGTCAAATAATGTATATTATTTTGTCACGCTAATCTAACTGGCCTGGTCAAAAAACTCAGATTCTGAAAATAAGTTTTTGAAATGTTTATTTTTTAAATTTAAAATAAAAAAAGGTTTTAGAAAAATAAGAAAAATCCGTTTGGCTGCCTACCTCATCAAAGCCTCTAGCTCGAGCAGACGCATGGCCTGCATCCGACGGCGGCACGCGAGACCCATTTTTTTTGTGCCTTCCTCATTTGATTGACTCTGTATTTGGGGTATAAGATCTTGGAATTTGGATTTTGGAACTTATCACATCTGTGGAGAGTCTGTGTGTAGGGTTACGAATTTAATGAGTGTTTGGCGATAGTTTCAGGGCCCATGTGGAACCACCGAAAAATCTCCCAATTCCCGCGGGAATCGAATTGTTCCGTGTCAAAATTTCTGCTTGCGAAACTCGCTCTCGCTCCACTGTCACCATACTTTGTCTATTTTTAGAGACAGTTAATTGCTAGATTTTTCTAGTTCTTCGAAAATGACCCTCATGGACTTTCAGAAATATGTCATTGTTTGTCTCCAGTCTCAGTTGTCAAATCTGTGTGACCCTTTGTGCCATTTGTCGTGTATCGTGTAGAGTCCTAGTGAATTTCTGTTGATTCATAACTTGCTTCCATGCTCAATTATCTTATGTTTCAGAGAACATCTGTGTGAATTGGAAACTGCCCTTAACATATCGCGCAAGCATACATACATGAAGCTGTCATCTCCGCTACATGCGTAAATTTGTTTATGGTTTGAAGTTTTACTTGCATAGATTTCTCAGCTCATCTTTTGTGCAAAGAATAGAATGAAAAGAACAGGGCCATCTTGCACAAAGGATTCTTCTGTTCCTGTTGATCAACAGTGCATCACTTGTCATAGGCTGTGTTTAGTTCGTGTGCCAAAATTTTTTTTTTGACATATATGAACACACATTTAAAATATTAAACGTAGACTAGTAACAAAACAAATTACAGATTTCACCTGCAAACTGCGAGACGAATCTATTAAGCCTAATTAATCCATCATTAGCAAATGTTTACTGTAGCACCGCATTGTCAAATCATGGCGTAATTTGGTTCAAAAGATTCGTCTTGCGATTTATATGCAAACTGTGTAATTGTTTTTTTTATTTATATTTAATGCTCCATGCATGTGTCCAAACATTTAATGTGATGAAAAAGTTGGAAGTTTGAAGAAAAACAAGGCCTGTATCTTTCAGTTGAAGAAAATGTGTTTGCTGACTTGGAGAGCTACAAGTTGATGTTGACTTGTGATTATCTTCAACAATTTTCACATACATTGTACTAAACTGGCCCTATTATGTGGCTTGAAGATTGAATTACCATAATATTTGTCCAGTCCAGGCAGCAGACTGCATTACCACATACCATACCTATGGATTCATCCATTCTTCCTGCTCTGCTGATTGCCCTGTTCATACCCATCCTCCTCCACCTTGTCACCCGATTCAAGTACTCATCCTACAATCTCCCTCCAGGCTCACTTGGCTTCCCATTCGTTGGCCAGAGCATCTCCTTCCTCCGGGCCCTTCGCAGTAACACTGATCACCAATGGTACCAAGGCAGGATCGGCAAGTATGGTCCTGTGTCCAAGATGTGGCTGTTTGGCTCACCTGCAGTCCTGATGGCCGGACCTGCAGCCAACCGCTTCATATTCAGCAACAAGGACCTGCTCTTCACGGGGACAAGGTCGATGAACCTCCTTAGCGGCCGGAATATACTGATGCTCTCAGGCGAGGAGCTGAAGCAAGTCCGTGGCGCACTGCAGAATTTCTTAAGCCCAGAAATGGTAATCAGGTATGTCTCTAAGATGGATGAGGAAGTCAGGAGGCATGTTAAGGTGAATTGGGTTGGACACAAGACTGTCAAGGTATGAACATAGTGCTAGCTTTTCTTTTCATTTCGATTTGTTTCTTTGTATTGCTGGTTCCCTTATTAATTACTCAACATGTCACTCGCTAGTCGCTACAAATTTGTTGATACTTATAAACTTATACCCTTCTTGATTTCTTAGTTAGATGTAAATATAACCTTACATTGTACATATGTTAAGGAAATATATTTGGTGAAAACCATCAAATAATTGAAAAACCGTGAAAACCGTACCTAAAAGTTTTCTAAAATCTTTTGTTAAAAAAAGTTTTCTAAATTCATGAAAAAATTATAACGATAGGTATATGTGTGAAATACATCCATACCAAATGTCAAGTCCAAAATCAACTTCATTTTTGAGAAACATAGTATTCACCTGAATTTTTTTTGTTACTCCCAAATAAAATTAAGTTTGAACACCTAACTCTGGTAACTTTTTTTTTCATGAATTTACAGAACTTTTAGATCCCATGTATGTATGACTCTTGCATGATCCTGTTCCTGTAGGTTCTTCCTTTGGCAAAGAGGCTCACATTGGACATCATCTGCTCGGTCATCTTCGGACAAGAGGCAGGTTCTGTCAGAGAAGCCCTTGCCACCGACTTCCCGGCGATGGTGAGGGCTGCGCTGTCGATTCCAGTGAAGATACCTTTCACCAGGTTCAGCAGGGGCCTGAGTGCGAGCCAAAGGATCAGGAAGTTGCTCAGGGGGATCGCTCGTGAGAGAGAGACGCTCTTGCAGCAGCAGCAGGCTCATGGCGCTTCAGCAGCTGACGATTTCTTCACATACATGCTCGCCTTGCGTGCTGAAGGTGCGCACTCGCTCACGGTCGAGGACATCGTGGACAACGCGATCTTCCTTCTGATCGCAGGCTATGAGACGACATCTGTTCTAATCACATTCATGCTCTGGCACCTGGACAAGGAGCCAGAAGTCCTTTCCAAGATAACTGAGGGTGAGCAGCTAGTAGTAGTACTTTTGCGTTGTGTTGATATCACTACTGTTAGTGTTTTCGATCTTCTGCTGAGTAGCATTACTTTCTTTTCACAGAGCAAGATGAGATTGCCAGGAACAAGGGACCTGAGGATGCTCTAACCTGGGATGATGTTTCAAGGATGAAGTACACATGGAAGGTGGCAATGGAGACAGTGCGAACAATCCCTCCAATTTTTGGGAGCTTCAGAACAGCTACCAGAGACATCGAATACCAGGGCTATCACATTCCAAAAGGTTGGATGGTAAGTAATTTTTGGGAGAATAAGTCATGTATTCTCTCCGTTTTTTCATGTTTGACGTAATTAACATGTTTACATAAATTTGACTATCCATTTTGTTAAAAAAAAGTATAATTATCATTCTGATTGATTTTATCAATATAAGTACTTTTAAGCATGACTTATATTTTTTATATTTACATAATTTTTAAATAAGATGAATAATAAATATACGTTTAAAAGTTAACGATGTCAAACACAAAAATTCGAAGGGAGAATATGGCTAGACATTTTGCTCTTCCCTGTATATTCCTTTGGGTGTCTCAGTGACATGCCAATCTGAACCAGTGTACTCGTTGCCTCCTTTGTCTTCTAATACTGATCTTCTGTGACTCACCAGGTATTCACAGCCCAATCTGTTACACATTTGGATGCAAATATTTTCCCTGAGCCAAGCAATTTCGACCCTGCTCGATTCGAGAACAACTCTTCGATTCCTCCTTATTGCTTTGTGCCATTTGGGGGAGGTCCAAGAATGTGTCCTGGAAACGAGTTTGCAAGGACTGAGACATTGGTGACCATGCACTCCTTGGTGACACAGTTCAGGTGGAAGCTGTGCTGCAAGGAAGAAAGCTACAAGAAAGATCCGTCTCCGACGCCTCTTCTTGGACTCCCAGTTGAACTGGAGCCGAGATGCCTCCCTGAAAATGCTCATGCTTAAAAATTGCTTCATGTCCGTGCATTTTGAGTTTATGCTATTTGCAGTTAGCCAGAGAGAATCATGGAGTAATGCAGTACAAATCCAAGAACTGACAAGAATTCAAGTCCAAATTCAATCCTTAGATTGAGAAAAACAAAAGCAAATCTATATGAACAATATAGACACTATCTATATTCGGATTCTCCAACTTTTGTTATACATATGTAGATTAAATTTAAACTGGCGTGTTCGAGGGGTATGAATAATGTTATGATCTACGGTGTTGGCACTTTTCACAAATTGTAACGTGATGACTATTCAAGTAGCATGCAAGGATGACAGTACACGCCCAGGCTGCGTTCTTTGCATGAAACGAGAAAGCTCATTAGCACATAATAACTTAAGTATTCACTATTATAAAGTTGAAAAATAGATTTGTTTATTTATTTAAACAACTTCTATATAGATTTTGTTTCTTTTGCAAAATAAGCATCATTTAACAGTTTGAAAAACGTGCTAACGGAAAACGAGGAAGTTGAAGTTTGTAGTTGAAGAAAAGAACTAAACCTTAGTGTAAACTGACTTTACGTTTATATACCACAATGTATCTACTATCTTCTTCGGACACAAGTATTTCATCTTTAGGGCCAAACATTAAAATTTTGACCATTGGTGACTTCCTGAAAGCTCCATTTAAAAAACGTAAATTGGTGTGCTTAGATTTTCCTTGAAAGTACTACTACTCCGTTTTATATTATAAAACACTAACTTTTTTAGTCAAAATTTTTTAGGTTTAACCAAGTTTATAAAAAATGTAGCAATATTTATATCATTGAATTTATTTTATTAAATCTAGCATTGAATATATTTTAATAGTATGTTTGTTTTGCGTTGAAAATGTTACTATTTTCTTATATAAACTTGATCAGAAGTACTTTGATCTAAAAATAATCAAAGTGACTTAATATGAAACAGAAGAAGTATCATATTATATTGAACTTATTAGATTTCAAAAAAAGATGCATTCGGGTATTAAAAAATAATGATCAAAGTATAAAAGTTTTCACAAGATATTTATGACCGGTGGGAGTACTTGCATCTCTCCTTATCTTACTCTTGCTCCACAATGTTTCATGTTTATTAATTATTGTACAACTTGGCACTTTCCCAAGGGTAAAATAATATTGGCACAAGACACATGAGAAACCTCGTACTTCATCTTATATTGACAAAAGTAATCACACAAAAGAATCACTCATGACCTTTTGTTTAAAATGTCCATACACGAGAAACCATGTTTATTATGTGGTCATTGCAATTTGCAAATTTAATTACTAGCCTAGAGCCCGTGCGTTGCAACGGAAAACAAATTGAGTTTATACCTTATTAAATCAATTAATTAGCATTTATTTAGTCCAAGTAATACTATGTTTTTTTTATTAACAATTACTCCTAGGTGATTTTGAAATTTTAGTCCAAGTAAAACCGGTGTTGGTCTGCCCAAACCGGCCTACCAAGAAGGTTGGGCTGGTCTAAAGCTGGCTACCCCAACATGGGCCTTCGGCTCGAGCTGCCACAATCGGCGGCCAGTGCGCAGCCTTGCGTGTATTGGTATCTATTCTGACTGAGTGTCTCAGACTCTCTTGGTCCCTCTTCCTCCTCCTAGGGGGTCTTGTATTTATACCCATAGATGTTCCATTGTTCAAGTAGAACTAGGAAAACAAATATGGATACGAATCGAGTAGTCTTTATAATTTTTATGTAGAACTCTGTTTCTCATTCCTTATCCGGAATACCTTTCGTATGTGAGGCCTGATTTCATATAAGACTTGGTATATGGTGGGTCCTGCCGAGCTTAATCGACTACTATTGGATACCTGTTATCCATAACCCTGACAATTATCACCAAACAATTGTCATCTACTAGACATAGGCCGAGTTTGAGAGGAGAGGGAAAGAGAAGATTGAGAAGATACGCAAAACGAGGTGAGCCATTAGCGCTTTATTAGTTGAGTATTAAGTATTTTAAATTTTAAAAATGGATTAATATGAATTTTTAAAGCAACTTACCTATAGAAATTCTTTTTGCAAAAAAAACACATCGTTCAATAGTTTGGGAAGCGTGCGCGCGGAAAATGAGGTGTTTTCTCTCTCAATCTCCTAGCAACGAACGCAACCATAGTCAAATTTTACAATGTATTTGTTTAGACTTTGGAACCCAAAAATTTTCTTGTGCAAACTAGAATGAGATAAAGCAAAGCAGGAAAAGAGTGAATAGACCAGTCTTAATGAGATAATGCATCAATAGAGGATGAGAGGAGTCCTATTGAGTTCGCCATAGGGCATATGGAGTAGAAGGTGCAAGTGGAATGTATAGTGACCAAACAAATTCCATGCTAACTAGAAATTTAAAAAGCTCTCAAATAATTTATCCGATCTTTGAAACACATATTTTCTAGGGTCTTTTAGAACTTCATAGAATATGTGATAATTATGATAAGTGGATAGACATTATAGGCTTCAAGTAAACGATTATAAAATCTAATTGTACTTAATTCATGCCTAGTGCAGAGGCTAGCTAAACAAAATATTTATGGGTTGGTTACTTTGATTACATAATTCCTAATATTTAACTACAAATTTTATAAAAAAAATGAAATCATGGGAACAATAATAAGAAATCGCATTAAAAAAAATAATGATATGTTCGTAGTTATATTTAGCCATCCAATTGTGTTCTTGCTAGCCTCGCACACTTGCATGAAATTATCCCATATGGTTGTCTCCTACACTGCACAATAGAATTGGACTCTACAAGAATGTGTATTTAACATAGTTTTGAATCCCCTCAATCCATGAATAAATAAACAATGAGAACTTATTTAATTTAGTATTAGATGTTTACACAACTTATTTAATTTAGTATTAGATGTTTACACAAAAAGTTGATTCATATTTTTAAAAAGTTTGACATTTAAGGTATCATGCTCTGTCACTATTCTATCATCTCACAAAATTTGAGCTTAAAATAAGATTATATAAAATGAAATAGAAAATACAAAACTCAATAGAGAGAAAAGTGAACTAATTATAGAAAAACCTATAAAATTCATAGAAAAAATAGGTTCTTAACTTTCACTTAAACTACAACACCCATTAGCATAAGCATTGCATCATTTTTGAGTTCTTAGATGATTACACTGCGATAAGTATGCAACAAAAAAGCTAACCAATTAGAGGGGACTAGCTTTATTGTGCAAATAGAACATGTTTATTAAACAATAATAGCTTTGGAAGATTTTTTTAAGAAAAAAATAGAACCCTTAAACAATCAATTATAAAAAGTTTGTAATAAAAATTCAAGCAATATCAAATAAAGTGCCCGCGCAGCTACGCGGGCAACCTTCCTAGTTGTGTGGCAAAGGACCTAATGACCCTTTGACCTGGAATGATGTTTCAAGGATGAAGTACACATGGAAGATGGCAATGGAGACGCTACGGACAGTTCCTGCACTTTTAAGAAGCTTCCAAACAACAACCAAAGACATCGAGTACTGGGGCTATCACATTCCATACCCAAAGACGTCAGTGATGCGTCTATCTGAACACTATACCCAACTCTTACATTTCCTTGGATTGCTCCCCCACACATTTTCTGTGCTATGCCAGGCAGTATTGAGTTTTCATCCAAATTCATTTGCACTTAATAAATGCCAGCTTCTCTTTTGTTTTTGGAGGGTTTTCCACGTTAAATCTCGTATCTTCTGTGATTGATCTATTATTTTTTATCGTTTGTTAGCCTATCGCTTCCTAACAGGCAGGTCTTCACTGCTCAAATTGTCACACATTTGAACGCAAATTTTTTTTAGACGACCCAAGCAAGTTTGACCCTTTTAGATTTGATGAAATGTCTTCAATCCCACCTTATTGCTTTGTGCCATTTGGGGGCGGTCCTATGTGGACCCCCGTTTTTATAACAGGAATCAATCGTGTAAACAGTACCATTTCCCTGGATCAAGTAGTCTGGTACACACGAATTCATAGCTGAAATACCAAGTGCACATACACGAGTGTCTAATACGAATTATTACATCATAACCCCGCAGGCGTAGTCTTAAATCATCGGACCGAGCGGTCCGGAATACATCCAAAAGCAGAAATAGATAAGGCAGCGGAATTCAGGCAGCGGCATGCCATTGCCACAGGCAACGACCGTACTAAGACCTACTGAGCGCCATCGTCTTCATCTCCCTCCTGGTAGTAGGCATAGGGATCCTCCGAGGCTTCATCTCCCACTTCTGATTAATTTTATATTTGCAAGGGTGAGTACCAACCGTACTCAGCAAGCCACCACAGCAATGATGCACATGACAGAGGAATTCAAAGGATGGCTATGGTTCTTTTGCGCAAAGCAAGTTTTGTAATTCTTTTCACAAGCCTAAGACCTAGCATAGACTGATCAAGTTTTAATACCAGTGTTCATATTAAACAATGACGGTTCTGTCCACCATCCATTGTGATCCCAAGGATAGCTTCCCGCCATTGAGTCGTTATGGTTTTCTGAGGACGTCCACGTTCCCGCCTCTCAGGAAGTGGCTCCATCAGCATAAAAATCATCATGCAATATCCCATCCCACACAAGTTAAAGAATTTAGAGTCTAGCCAAGTGTAATACATGTCCCGGTGCTCAATAACCGCGAGCACGACTATTTGAATAGATTTGGTTTACTCACACTGCAGTGGATGTACACTTTACCCGCACTCCGCGATTGCCCAACACATGAGCCTCGTCCCAACACATGAGACGCGTCACGGCAAAGCTTTTCGATAACCTCGCATTGGCAGTACCCGCTCCGTGAACTTAAATCCTCATGCACTCTAGGCGTCCATGTTTCTAGCAGTGAGAGGAGTTCTGGCGCTCCCGGGAAAGAGAAGTCTCACACGCATATTAAATTATGGTTCAAGTTAAGTTCTCTCTCTCACACACTCATGGCAGTCCTACCAATGGCGACACCGATGTAGGGCACGCTTCTCGGCCCTACCTCAACGGCTGTCCCATCGTAGCGCACCTGCCTCACTCAGGGGTGAACCATCTATGCAGGGATACTGCCTCCGCTCGGCTATCTAATCCGCTAGGTCTATACCCATACGAGAAGTGCGGTTGTACGGGGGTTGTTTCATGCTTAACTTCATGGCTCGGTCCTTAATTGACCGGGGACGGTACTAGCCTTTTCCAGATACCACCCAAATCCTCCGTCCGCCCCAGTCGAAAACAGTTATTTAATTTTATTTCTCCTTTCACAAATCATGTCATCAACATCATGGCAATGTGGCGCTCATGTCT